AATCCTGGCAAAAATTGGAGAAGAATGGTGGCATCATACTTCTAGGCTTCACACTATACTGTAAAGCTATAATGATTAAAATAGTATTATACTGGAACAAAAACAAACATAAAGACTGATAGAACAGAAGTACAAATCTAGAAGTGAACTTATAACTATGTAAACAGTTAATCTTTGACAAAGGAACCAAAAGTTTATATTGGAACAAGGAAATCCTCTTTAATAATCGGGACTTGTAAAACTGAACATACATGTGCAAATGAATGAAATTATACCACTATAAATTCTACTTAAACTGTATAAAAGACTTGGAGGCAAGACCTGTAAGTATAAAATACATAGAAGAACACATAGGCAAAACATTTTGTGATTAAAAACTCAGTAATGTCTTTGTAAATCCATCCCAACAGCAAAGAAGCAAAAGATAATATAAATAATTGGGTCTACTTTAAACAACAACAACAACAACAATTTCTGCAGAACAAAAGAAACCATAACTAAAATCAAAAGACCACCCCACTGAAAGGAAGTAAATATTTACAAACCCCACACCTGACAAATGCATCATACCAAAAAAAAATCTACAAAAGCAATTCACACAATTCAATAGCAATAAAAAAATAACCCAACCAAAATATATTAAAATAGCTAAATATACACCACTTAGAGGAGACAAACACATGATCAATAGGCATGTAAAAAAATGGTTAATGTCACTCATTGTTAAGGAAATGTACATCAAAACCACAATGAGGTAACACCACACTTCTGTAAAAATGACCCATATCAGAAAGACCAGATTCAGTAAATGTTCATGAGGATCTGGAGAAAAGAAACTTCTTAAAACTTTGATGGAAACCTACACTGGTTCAACCCTTGTGGGAAACAGTATGGAGGTTCCTCAAAAGATAAATATATATCTCCTATATGAACCCAGGAATCCCACTTCTAAATACATAAGCAAAGAACACAAAAACACTAATTCAAAGTGACCTTACAGTGCCATGTTCATAGAAGCACTGTTACAGTAGCCAAAACATGAAACAACCTAAATGCCACAAAGTGGATTAGTATGTCTTGAAGATGTAGTATTTATATACAATGGAATACTACTCAGAGATCAAAAATGATGAACATAACATGTACGGCACTGGAAGGCATTATGTTAAGCAAAGTAAGTCAGAAGGAAAAATATAAATACCAGGTAGCATTACTTATAAGTGGGACTCTAAAAGTGGAACTTAAAGAGAAACTAAACAAATGAACAGGTAAATCCAAACTTGCAAACTAATCCTAGAAAACTGACTACAGAGCAAAGGAAAACAGAAGGGGTGGGGAAGGAAGAATGGTGAGAACAGATGGGTAGGGAGCACAATGGACAGAGTCGATCATGAGTGTCTTGGTGTTGGCTATGGTATGGCAATAACCTGAAATGGGGAAGTCCTATATTCTCAAAACACAAACAATGATATAAGCCAGGGTCACCTCAAAAAAATTAATTTTCAAAACTTAAGAGTTAGAAGTTACATGATAAATCCAATTGCCAGAGAGAAACAAGAAATTAAGAATATCAGAGAGGAAGAAATTAGTAAGTTCATATTGGTATACATTATATTTGAGATTCCAAAAAAAAGAAAAAAAAAAACAACTGGCATGCAGTAATAAAAATCAGTTCATTCTGAGAAATAATGTGGGTAACACGTAATTATAGAAAAAGTTCTACAGCCACATCTATACATCTACTAACACACACACATGCACACACACACAAACACACAAAGTGCTTTCTTCACATAAAATCAATAATTAGGCCTTTAAAACAGTCACTTCCAGAGACAGTAATATAAAAAAGTCACCACATAAATGTTGCTTATTTAAACTTAAACAAAGATAGGTTGTATTCCCAGATGTGGTTCCCCTAAATTCTGATTGGCTAATAACCTGAAATCATTATCATTGGTATAAACACACTGGCATGAATAAAAAGAATGGACAGTTCATGTTTCTGTGGCAGATTAAGCTAACTGTTGCCCTACTAAAGCCAGAATCTAGGAGAATTACACACACACACACACACACACACACACACACACACACATATATATATATATATATAAGGCTTACATATATATATATAAGGCTTACATATATATATATATATATATATTTACATATATATATATATAAGCCACTGGCACCCAATTTAGGCATCTAATATAGAATTATGCAGACTTATAGATAGCTAATATGAAATGCCATTTTACTAAATGAATCAAGCTCACAAAGCAATGTAATACTTCTAAGCACAATAACAACAGAAACTCACATTATTAAAAGAACTGTTTTGTTTGTTTTTATTTTCATATTAAACTATCTGGCTGCTTCTGAAGAAAATTTGACTTAATAAGATAAATTTGTTTCTCAGATTAACTGTTAGAAAATCAAAAACAGTCCTCACTAATCTAAAATTGAAATGTTCATTACCTCTCCTACTCATTAAAATCAGAGCAACTCAGTCCTGTACCTATTTAAATGGTAAAAAGCTAAACAAAAAAGTTTCCAATTTCAGGTGGATAGAATATACTGAAGATGCAATACATCAGACAATTAGCCAACCAGACTATTTTAATAGCAGAATGGCCATTAAAAGAAAGAAAGGAAATAAATAAAGGCTGGCTACATCTTTATTTTGAAGTTTTAAGACCCTAAGGACCTCTCCACTTATATAAAGTTAACATATAAATTATATAGTCTCAACGGCAACTCTTCCTACATCATACACTACACAAATGTATACTTTTGCATACTCAGGTACCAAGAGACTACCCAGATAGAGATGTAAAGAACCTAATAGACAATGCTGAATGCCATAAGATCAGGAAAGCTAATGTTAAAGATATAAACCAAGTCTTTCTAAAAGTTTTATTCTGGCAGTCATCAGATTCAAAATACTATAGATAGTAGTTCAGACTGCATAAAATGAGAAAGTACTCAATAGAAAAACATCAAGCAAAGAATGTAAACTAAGCAGATAAATATGTAAAAGATGTTTGGGAAAATAAAAGCATTTCAAGACTACAAAGGAATTGGAATATAGTGGTGTGTGAACCAAGAGTAATGACATGACCCCTTCCTGAAAAGCCACCATCCTACAGTCTACAAGGTCCTGATAATGGGTTACTTAATTCTTAACAAAATAAATTTGTTGCTTCTGAGGATACTAATAACATCGTGTAACAAACATGTACTCATTTGAAATTGATAGCACAGAAGAGAGCAATAATTACAGAAATAACATCAATAATCTTGTGATTGTGCTTGCCCACCCACCCCTAAGAGTGAACAAACTCCTTTCCTTTCCATGCCCTCACATTCCCTTGTTCTAATATTACTTTACTTGCACTCAGTGAGGTAGCGATTTTTGAGTACTGACTCTACTCTCCTCCACCCATGATGCCATTCACTAATAAAATGCTTCCTTGTTGGAAAGAATCTCTTGACTCAGAGTTTGGTTTTCTGAATGTTCATATTGGTGAAAAATAGAAAGAAAAAACTGATTTCCTAATTCAGGACTTAACAAATCATTATGTCTGTTTCAAGACAATCTCTGGAGGAAAAAAAAAAAAAACAGGAAATACATGATACCAGGGCAAGAACTATCTCTTAAAAGAGTGGTTAATTGAGTGAAAGTAAAATGAGGATTAAGAAGTATCATAGGTATATAATCAGTTTGAGTGATCACTAACAAGTTATTATTATAATAAGTTATTAGGGAATTAATATTTAAAATAATTCAATTCTACTAAATGATGACATATAAGCTACAAGAATACTAATATCAATATTAGCTGTTGAAAAGCAGTAATATTCAAGATTAAAATTATAAGAAGTAAAATTGAACGCTACGCAAAAATATCTAAATCAGCCTAACATTGTAATCTGCTCAGTCAGAGCTCTTGGTATTATTTTTAAATGTAGACAATAGTGTAGAAATAGGGGAAATGAAGGTTAGTGAGGAGAAAGATACAATTTGGTTGGCATTAAGCTCTGCAAAATCATCTGATTAGAAAACCAATTGGAAATAATCACTAACACTTTAGTCACTGGCTGCAACCAAAGGAGAAGAGAAATAATTTTAATTATCCATTACTCCTCCCTCTCTCAAAAATATAGCTTGTCTTTACAGAATGTGAAATAAAGGAATCTCACTGTGTTCCAAGAGAAGATGGCATGACTATCTTAGAAATATCTAGCAAAAAAAAAAAAAAAAAATGGAGGACTATCTTTAAATGATATTGCAAAATAGATATATAAAATTTACATCTTACTAAATAAAATCCCTCTGGCTAATAGTAAGAAAGGTGTGTAAGGCATACAAGACTATAGAGTTGGTAAGATGCTCATGATGGTTGGGAATTCATAATCAAGTCAGAGAGCCAAGAAACCAAAATCCTAGATTGAATATACACAAAGTATGGGGTTGACAACTATTGTAGAATCAAAAGGCCTAGTCAAATGCTTACAGGCCTTATTGAAATGGGACAAATTTTTGATACAATAACAGGTATCTATAAAATAAGTGTTTTCAATGCCTACTTCATGCTTTGTTATACTTATAAAGTGACATTAAAAATGGGCGTTGAGGGCCGTCCCTGGTGGCGCAATGGGTTAGAGTGCAGCACTGTTAGCTTGCCACAGCTGCTTCAGTGCGAATTCGATCCCCAGCCCCTAAGGTGATCCACATGGTGTGTCAGGACCTCTTTTGACCCGCCTGCTGCTCCCCTCAGCAGTGTAGTTGGTAGATCTGCCTGTTCTGCTCCTCAGCTGTCACTGGGCAATCCTCTCGCCACCCCTGCACCTTTGGCCTGTACTCCAGTTCTGTATGAATAAATAAATAAATCTTAAAAAAAAAATGGGAGTTGGTTTTATGCTTGACCCACGAGCACACAGGAGGAGTAGACTGATGTTGAAGTACCTACTTGCCTTTCCCTACATCTTACCTGTTGCCTGCTTCTTCAAGAAAGATACCTGGTAGGATGTAGGACCTACATGCTCTTCTGTGCTACCACCTTCTGCCAATCTCAGTAGGCGAGGAGCCCTATCATACATAATGGGAACTGTGGTTGGGGAGGTTTACAAGGGATTAAAACTGCTGCTTGAGGAGGTGCAGCGCAAAAGGAGCCAGATAACAGTCTGAGGAGACCCTGGCAGAACCGAAGCTCTCTCCCAGCCAGATCATTGGTGTCAGTTTACCACCAGTTCAATTTCTGCCACACTGGTTAAGTGAGAGAGTACCAGCAGAAATAAAACATTTCAAATAATCATCACTTTAACAGCAGGTACACAACATCGACCCTCTTCAAGAAGATGGCAGAGGGGAAGTGCCTGCCACTGTGCTTCGGCTCCTGGTTAGGATCCGGAAATCTCTGGGGAAAAGCGGAAGTGTTCTTCCAGCCAAACCCTCCGGGCTGGTGTGCCTTGGTTAACCGCCCCCAATCTCTGATGCTGCTCTCCAGTGGCGAACAACTTTAAACCTGGCTCTAGAGCTCTTCTTATATAAATTATGACATTAATGCTGTTTTTAGGACTCAGAAAAGCTGTAGAAACAAGTTAGAAGAAATTAGGAAACAAAAGAAAGGAAGGAAAAGAAAAGCCTGGATTCCTCTACTCCTACAACTGCACTGGAGAAAAAATACGGCTGACCTTATAACATGAATAATCCAAAATGTTTTTACGGAAAAACCCAGGAGGAGCTGTTAATAACAAACCGGGAACTAGGGACGCACACAAATGTTCACCAATGGAAACAGTGCAAGTACAGGTTACTGAAAGCTGCATCTGTTATCACATACAGGGCAACAACACTGTAACTCATTACTGTTCTTAAAGCAAAGGCACTGAGAAACCCCAGTCCACTCATTAAACAAATGGATTTCTTAATCTTAGTCAAAAGCATCCCAACTTCTGCAACGGTCTTGAGTATGTATTACAATCAACCTCAGTGTTATTTCAGGCTCATTTTATTTTCCCCCACCAAGAATCGTACCCAGATTAAAATCATCTTAAAGGCAAATCATACTTGGACATGCCTTTGCCCCAAGTGAACAACCATGGTTTAATTTGATCCTTCTACATATTTATTATAATAGAATGAAATTTGATGCTCAATTCTGTGGGTCATTTGTTATAGTTTAACTGTTCATATGTAAGAATATGTAAGATTCCCTCCATACAAAGCTATATGCTTCTCAAGAATAATTTTGTATACTCAAAAGATGCCTGAAAAAATGAATTCACTTTTTTAAAAAATACTTACTGACAAGGGTTCAGTCCCCTGCTAGATTATGAGGGTACAAAGACATGACAAATTCCCTGATGGGGTAAAACATGTATATTATGAAACAAAAGGTGACAAAAGAGAAATATAGAATCAGAAAACAAATGTTCCAATACATTGGAAACCCTTTGTACTAAGAAACTAAATTAGTGATCCTTTCATTATGCAAACCAGAATGTAAACCCAGAAAGTAAATTCAAGTCTAGACCACCCTTGCTGTTGGTGCTGGTACTTCCATCTATAAAGACCAGGATTACTCTTCTCTTGCAAAGATTTTTATTTGAGATGGGAATAGAAGTATTACAGTAAAGCAGGCTTGATCAGATTTATCTATGGCTTGATTACTGGCCAGAAAGCCTAGCCTGATGGTCTGATAAATAATAAGCACCACTGTGTAAAAGTGAAAATAGTTATTCTCAAAAATAAAAAAAATGAGGGTTAACTCAGAAGAGACTGATGGGAAGTAGATCCCAGCCAAATGCTTCTTTAACCCCCTCCTTGACACATCTACCTAGGATTTGATCTATAAAGTATTGTGATGAATGGGGATGGGGGGTAAGGGTAGGTGAATCATATCCCATAAAAAGGAGTTACAATGAGACAAGCACAATAAAGAAACAAATTTATTTTTGTTGTGGTTTTGGATTTTTTTTGGGGGGGGGCAGGGAAAACTTACATATCTTACATTAATTATCTCTGGTAGTCATTTCAAATGTGAGAAAGGCAATAACTTAGGAAATAAAAGGTTTTTTATATACAAAGAAAACCTTTTAGTCATTAACCTATGGCTCATTCCAGAGAAAGGAAAGCTTAAAGCTTTCAGTTGGAGATACCTGCTGATAGGTGATAAATGATGGATGAATACAGGATTCATTGCAGAGCTCTTCACAGGAGTTTTCCATCTGTTGGATATGTCTCTGAGGCCTTTCTTTGCCCAAAACATATTTGTGTATATATGTGTGTGTGTGTGTATATATATATATATATATATACATATACATATACATATACATATATATACATATACATACATATACATACTTATACATATATGTATATATATACATATACATACATACATATATATATATATATATATATATATATTTACTTATAAGCACATAGACCTTAGGGTAATCCAAGAACTTTAAAAGAAACAATATGTTTGGAGATGGAAGAGAAAAAGTTACCTCTTCCCTTATGAGCAAATGCCCAGCCAAACAAGTTTTACCCAAATAAAAACCACTGAGGCTAGAAAGGATGTGAAAATCCTAAGGTATCTTCTTGTGGGAGCCATAAAGAGGAGGCAAAGGAACCAACCAAATCCAGGATGAATGGATCAAAAATCACAAATATCAAAACAATAGACCACTGTCAGCCCTTTCACTTGTCTCTCTATATGTCTGTCCTCCAGGCATCATCTTCCATGTGCCCAAGTCCCTGGTGCAAATCCAAAGCCAAGAAGCAAATGTGCCCTTTTCTACACATGCCTTTTTTTTCTGAGACTACTTTTTGGTGTCAAATCTAAATAATAGGTGCTTTACCCTAGAGGGCATCAATTCACTAGAAAGTACTAGTTGTAGTTGAATGAAGCAAGACTCTTTTTTTTAAAGATTTATTTATTTATACATACAGAACTGGAGTATATACCAGAGATGTCAGGGGTGATAAGATTCATTAGAGAGAATGGGAAACAAAACAGATAAATCTACTGAAATACACTGCTGAAGGGAGCAGTGGGCCAGACAGAAGAGGTCTGCTGTGCCATAGGGGTCACCTCACTAAATTCATAGTGCTACACTCTTTGCACCACAGGGGGGGCCCAGAAGCAGGCAAGATTTACAGAGACTCATGAATGAGAAAGGCAGTTCAGGAAAAGAGAAATAAGCTAGTTTCATAAAAGGAATTAGAAGGAGGATAAGCACACCAGGCAGGGAGTAGGATCATAACATCACACCTTGTTCTGAATTGGCTAAGCCAGGGCATACACAGGTGGGTTATCTTTCAACTAGGAAATTTTATGATTTTAAGATAATCATTAGTTATATATATACATACATACATATATATATATATATATATATATATATATATATATATATATATATATATTGTCTGTAGGGATGCTTCATGGTCAGTGTGATAGGTTTAATTGTTTGGACTGGGATTGCTAGTGCATGATTTAGTCCAACTGTTTAATCCATAGTGGGGAAACTCACTCTTACAGCTTGCAGTTCTTTTACCTAAGCAGTCATTTTCCCTTGAGAAATTTTAATCTTTTTCATATGGGGATGTAGGGCCAAAAGTTTCTTCTTCTGTAGCTACTTACCATCTATTAAGGTAATCTAAGTCTGACAAGAATAAAAATCTCTCACTGCATATTTTAGCAAACAGAAGGAGTGGATACCATCATGGATAGGAATAGTATGGAACCCATGGATTAACATCATTTTGTTACTGGGAATAGGGCATCAATGTCTGGCAATCATGTGGGTATCATCAGGACAGGAATCTCAGTTTTCAAAGCAAGAGTTTTAGTGTAAGAACAGATCAATAATTATATGGGGTGTATATGCAGCCTATGCTAGATGTATATATACAGATTCTTATATTAGGTAAGTTGCCCTTCCCTTCCTCCATAGGCCCCTGCCACTTCCCATGTGAAGGTTAGTTATAACTTTCATATTTATAAGGCTTCAGATTAAAGAGATTTGAGGGGGAAGGTATCCAAAGTAGGAGAGACAGCTCTGTAACATATTCCCTATTATCATGTTTGGTCTTCCATTACTATGGGAGACTAGGGCATCATATTCTTCTGGCTACTTCCTGATGAATTGGGCCATCATTGGGGTTTGTACCATGGAAGGCCTGTATCCATTGGTGTTGGCAGGAAAAGGGGTGTAATGTAATATTACCCAAAAAAGAAGATATTCTGCCAACCCCTCCATTAAGACAAACAAGGCTAAATGCAAAATGCTGAGTTTTCAGCCATACAATATTTAGGATCTTGCCCAGTTACAGGTTAAAACAAGCAAAACAAAAATATCCTCAACAACATCAAAAAGATGTAGCACTGATACAGTTTTTTCCACCTTCACACAATTTTATAAGGTAATTACAGTAATTAATAAAATTGGCCAATTTGAATAAATTCAGCAAGAACAAAAGTTACTATAAAAACCTGTTAATTTTGATTTGCTGGAACTCCTAACATTTTAAGAAAATGATTGTGTTCAATTGATGCAAATTGAAAGAATAGGGGAGAAAATAAAAAGTGTCAGTTTGAAGCCACATAGCTGGACAAAAAAAAAAAGCAACAACTTCAGATCCAGTTCAATTTACAGCTAAAAATAATTAAGGGGACTAAAAACTGATATTCAATAAAGCTACTGAATCATATTACTTTCGCTGTTACTCCATCTCTACCAAAAGATTACAGTAAAGCCCACAAGGATGTCTCGTTTCAGTAAAGTTAGCCAGTTCTTCGGTATAATCACAATAAACAAATAGAGTATAACTGCACGCTTCAAAGTGGATTTCCTAATACCTCCACAAAGAATCTTAGATTGAGTTCTTGACTATATGCCTTTCAGGGTGAGGGGCACTTAGAGTAGATAAATTTATTATGGAAGTCTCACAAGGATGACCATCAGAGGTGGAGGTCAGGACAATCAATGAGTCTTTTTTTTTTTTAAGACTTATTTATTTATGCATACAAGAACTGGGTAGAGGCCTGAGCTATGGGAGATGAGAGGATTCCCCCAAGACAAAG